CGTTAAAAGGCGTCGGCAAACCCGAGCTCCGGCGAACTCGAGTCTTACGTGTTCCCGATCTTTGTGATCAATCCCAGACATCTGGCGTCTTGATATTTCCGAGACGTAGGCCCCCGACTCCTCTACCCCTTCCCTGGGACCAGTTCTGCCTCCCGAGGTCGTTCTTCGAGGCCCCGAGGCCCGGTGAGGGCCCCGAGCGGCCGCAAACGGTGAACATGCCGTCTCCACTTTCTCGAGACGCCCGATGTCTGGGACGACCTTCTGTGCAAGCGGGCACCGACGGGCCCTCTTTGGACGCCCGAAATGGGTATGGGAAACACGGGTACAAATGTTTCCCCAAACCATCAGCGGCCGCTGTTGGGCAGGCGGCCTTCTGTCTCGAATGGACACAGGCCGCGGCGGCGTGGACAGCGAGTCCTGTTCAACATGATCAGGAACTGCTGTTGGGCCTTGTACCCTTTCGTTCCGTACCCATTCGGCTACACGCAAGAGTGACCCTGGGTAAGAGTGACCTTTGGTGTTCTTGGGACCCCCCACGCGACAATGTCTCGCTCGATAGCTACCCATACCCCCCTCCTCGCCCCGGCATCCCCATCCCACGAAAGCTCTGTCCTCGGGACCCCCCACACGACAATTTTTCACCCGAAACCTACCCATACCCTCCTCCTCGCCACGGCATCCCCACGCCCGAAACCTACCCATACCCCGCTCCTCGCCCCAGCATTTCCACCCCACGGAGAGCTCTGTTTTTGGGCCCCCTCCGCACGACAATCTCTCGCCCGAAACCTACCCATACTTTCCTCCTCGCCCCAGCATCCCCACCCCACGAGAGCTCTGGTCTTGGGCCCACACGACAATTGCTCGCCCGAAACCTACCCAGCCCCGGCATCCCCACCCCACGATCTCGAAAGCTCTGTTTGTGGGACCCCCCACACGGCACGTTCTCGCTCGAAACCTACCGATACCCTCCTCCTCGCCCCTGCATCCCCATCCCACGGAGAGCTCTATCTTTGGGGTCCCACACGCAAGACTGTCTCGCTAGAAACCTACCCATACCCTCCTCCTCGCCCTGGCATCCCCGCCCCGCGAGAGCTCTGTTCTTGGGATCCCCCACGCGACACTTTCTCGCCCGAAACCAACTTATATCCCCTTCCCCGCCCCGGCATCCCCGCCCCACGAGAGCTCTGCTCTTGGGACCCCCGCACACGACAATTTCTCGCCCGACACCTACCCATACCCCCCTCCTCGCCCCGGCATCCCCACCCCACGAGAACTCAATTCTTGGGACCCCCCACGCGACAACGTCTCGCCCGAAACCTACCCATACCCCCCTCCTCGCTCCGGCATCCCCACCCCGCCAGTGCTCTGTTCTTGGGACCCCCACGCGACAATCTCTCGCCCGAAACCTACCCATACTTTCCTCATCGCCCCGGCATCCCCACCCCACGAGAGCTCTGTTCTTGTGGCCCCCCACACGATAATTTTCCGCTCGAAAACTACTCATACCCCCCTTCTCGCCCAGGTATCCCCTCCCCACGAGAGCTCTGTTCTCGGGGCTCCCCACACGACAATTTCCCGCCCGACACCTACCCATTCCCCTTCCCCGCCCCGGCATCCCCGCCCCACGAGAGCTCTCTTCTTGGGACCCCCTCACACGACAATTTCTCGCCCAAAATCTACCCATACTCCCCTCCTCGCCCCGGCATCCCCACCCCACGAGTGCTCTGTTCTTGGGACCTCCCACCAACACTTTCTCGCCCGAAACCTACCCGTACCCCCTCCTCGCCCCAGCATCCCCGCCAAACGAGAGCTCTATTCTTGGGACCCCCCACGCGACAATGTCTCACCCGAAACCTACCCATACCCCTGCGTCGCCCCAGCATCCCCACCCCACGAGAGCTCTGTTCTTGGGCCCCCCCCACACGACAATCTCTCGCCCGAAACCTACCCATACCCCCCTCCTCGCCCCGGCCGGTATGCATCCCCACCCCACGAGTGCTCTGTTCTCGGGGCTCCCCACACGACAATTTCTCGCTCGAAAGCTACCCTATAAACCCCTCCTCGCCCTGGCATCCCCACTCCACGAAATGCCTTCAAGATGCCGCGAACAACCCCCAATGCGCTGCTCCAAAAACTGTTGAAGGCCTTCACGAATCCCGCAGCCAACGCGACGCTGCAGCTCGTTGATCCAGCGACCCACCTGGCCTTTTCGCGCTCTCCGTGCGCCCTCACATCCGACATCACAAGGGCGGGCCGACCACTTTGGGCCGCCGTCTGGCCTTCTTGAAAGGTCCCCGGGCCGTCTTTTGGAATCTTCGCGCCCACTGGGCACCCTCTTGGAGCCCTCTTGGGGGATTACTGGGCCGTTGAGAAGACGCCAGACGGCCAAGGTAGCCCCAAAGCTGTAGAAGAGGCTGCAAAAATCTGGCAAAAGTGACGTCTTGACATCTTCGTGGGCACTGTTCCACCCGTCCCTTTCGGCGAGGGGCTTCCCCCTCCTCTACCCGCTCCCGTGGCCCTAAAAAAAAAAGCCGGTAGAAGGTTGGAGCGCCCAAAGTTGCCCACGCCGAGGCCATTGTGCCCCCCCCCCCTAAGCCTCACAATTACTCCGCCCAGGCCCGAGAGACGCCCAAAGGAAAACCAAGAGAGCCCCATGACGAATCCAAGAGCGATCAGCATCGCCCTCAAGAACTCCAAAGCGGTCCAAAATGCCCAAGAGAACCTCCAAGACGGCTCCAAGAGCAATTACGGCCCTCCAGACGATTCGACCCGGAGAACCTTAAGACAGACTTTGAGGTCGGCGGCAGAGGCGGCAGCCTTAGGATAATTGCACAAACAATAATAATAACAAAAAGAATCCGCCGGCCCCCTTGTGGGGCCACCAGGCTGTAGGTCCGTGATTCGCAGTTTCCTGTACCAGTTGTAGTTTGTAGTTTCCAGTGTTGCAGTTCTGCCTCTTGCTGGTTGCTGTAACTAGTTGATTGACCGCGCGAGGGGAGGGAGGCCCAAACCACATTTTTGGCACCACCTGGGCGCGTTGTCTGAATTGCTGGGGGGGCTCAAAATCTATACCCCTCACGCAGATCCGCGGGGTCAGGGTCCAAAAACACATGGGATTTGCCACATTTCTGAAATCCGGTGCCACCCCTCACGCAGATCCGCGGGGTCAGGGTCCAAAAACACATGGGATTTGCCACATTTCTGAAATTCGGTGCCACCCCTCACGCAGATCCGCGGGGTCAGGGTCCAAAAACATAGGGGATTTGCCACATTTCTGAAATTCGGTGCCACCCCTCACGCAGATCCGCGGGGTCAGGGTCCAAAAACAAAGGGGATTTGCCACATTTCTGAAATTCGGTGCCACCCCTCACGCAGATCCGCGGGGTCAGGGTCCAAAAACACAGGGGATTTGCCACATTTCTGAAATTCGGTGCCACCCCTCACACAGATCCGCGGGGTCAGGGTCCAACAACAAAGTGGATTTGCCACATTTCTGAAATTCGGTGCCACCCCTCACGCAGATCCGCGGGGTCAGGGTCCAAAACCTGCTCTTCCATGGCCCATTCTCCGAGAGAGGGGGCCGGCGGCAGGGGGCGAAGCCCTTATGGATACGACTAATCATAATATTCAAAGCCCTCGGAAGGCCTCCTAAAGCCAATCAGATGCCCCAAAGAGCCTTCCAAGAGGCCCCTGAGAGCCATTCCAGGAGACCCTCATATGAATCCCCGAGGCTCCTGACCCACAGGCCGGGCACAGTTGCACGTCGCTTGACGAATTCATTGTGATTGGGGTTAGCGGTATAGCGCATGCCTGTTGAACAATCATAATACTCAGAACAAGAAGAAGGAGCACACTAATATTAGCCAGCGTGGACCCCTAACAGTAAGTCATTACACAGTGGCTGTGTAAGATATGAAAAGCAAACTATCCCAGTGCGACCCCGACCTAGGAGTTGGAGCATCTAGGAAAGCAACAGCTGCGCTGCGCTAAGCTAAGCACTGCTATGCTATGCTATGCTATGCTGCGCTATGCTATGCTATGCTATGCTATGATATGAGATGATATGCAATGCTGAGCTATGCTATGCTATGTTATGCTATGCTATGACATGCTATGCTATGCTATTATGTGCTAATGCTGCGCTGCGCTATGCTGCGCTGCGTTAAGCTAAGGTAAGCTGGGCTAAGATAGGCTAGGGTAAGCTAAGTTAAGCTAAGCTAAGCTAAGCTAAACCAAGCTAAGCTAAGCTAAGCTAGGCTAGGCTAAACTAAGCTAAGCTAAGCTAAGTTAAGCTAGGCCAAGCTAAGATGAGATAAGCAAGGCTAAGCTAAGGGGACGCAACTGGGAGAACCACGGGGCGGATCCTGGGAGAACCGCCCGGGACGAGCCCCACTGCCCGGCCCTTTAAGAGAACACGGTAAGAACCCTCTAGGCAGAGCCTAGGTAGGGAACTATGCGGTGTAAGCTATGTGCTGCAAGTCATGCAGTGTAAGCTTTGTGGTGTTATCTACGTGGTGCAAGCTATGCGGAGTAAGCTACGTGGTGCAAGCTATGCGATGTAAGCGATGTGTGCGCGACGGACGGGGACAGAGCCGCGGGGCCCACAGACGCGCGTAGTTCCTCAGAAGAGTGCAAGCACTGCTTGGGAATGGTGAAATCATCTTTTATGGCAACAGCTTATGTGAACGCATCTGCTACCGAACAGACCACCCCGAACCAACCAACATGTGCGACACGAACTGACATCGCGTTCCGCGTGAGCAGGATCAGTACACATGGCGTTTTGAGGGAAGAAGCTAACCAACGCGCCTCTCACCACAATGCGCTGTATGCAAGTACCTCTAGGAAACACAATCGGCAAATGGTATCGAATTTTGACCGGCGAAACGGCCAGTGATGTCGCAAATTAGGCGAGTGAGGGAGCAGGAAGCGCAACATACATCGCTACCCTCTTGAAACGCACACTAACGCCCAGATCGCAAGGTGACCAGCAGTGCCCCTTACCACATATGGCTCTGGCTCTCGGCAGCCCGATTCCGGTCGTGCTTGTACGTGAAGTGGACGAGGCTGTAGAGAAGAGTGCAAATTGTCCACGGGATAGTTGTGGTGATGGTCAGAGCAAGCCCCAACGCTCGCGCATTTTGCTCACGCAGTGCTGGAGGCATGTCCTCTACCGCCGCGCGCGAGGTCTGGTAGTGAAAGGTGTACTGAGCCAGCCTGCCAACCCAGAACGCGCCGAGGGATCCCATGAGACCCTCCACCATGGCTTGGTAAGCGATGATCGAACCACGCAGCTCGGGTCGCACGACCTCGGTGAAAATCGGCCGCGAGCATGCAATTGACGGAAAGGGCATCAGCGCACCCAGTAAGAACAGAGTCCCTGCGTAGTGGGAGGAGGGCGCGCCAACGCGTGGTAGGTAAACCAGCAACAGCAAGAGCACAGGCACCCGACACACATCGGTCACCTCCAGGGATGGGGGTTCACATAGCAGCTCCGAAGTGGATTGAGGTTGCCAAAACAGGTTCAACACGCCATACAACAAATCATTATCTGGCGGCGCGCTCCGTACACTTTGTTTAACAATTTCAACGCAATTTCGAATGCCCAACTTGTTCTAGATTGCACTTCCGCGTTGATTTGAAAGTATGCCTATCCGCACCTGGGCCAGAACCTTGGGCGACTCCTATCATCAGACGACTTCATCGGGAAAGTGGCCACATCTGCAGCTTGCTTCGCGTCTTGGCAACTTCCTCGAATAAGGAACACCATGTTTAACCATACCTCCTTCCAATGCTTACTTGAAAGAAACAAAAACACAAACTCTCGGAGATCAGCGCGGATTTCTTGGATCGGAGTTGGACCCCCCTCCATGGCGCGTGGGGCGCGCCAGGAGCGGCGCCGGAGGCGCCGCCTGGGGGCTCGAACGCACATGCAAGAACTCCGAGCAGAGTTCCGACAGTGTATGTCTGTGTAGTTTTCTTGCCATGTTGAACCAAACGTCCCCGACGCTTTCCACAGCTCTTGATCGCGTCTGCCGCACCTGAGCCACCGCCACTCGGCCGTGATCCAGGCTGCGCCTCGCCGCCCAGTCGCCGGTGAAGCCCGCAACCACGTGGCCAACGACGCCGCCGACGGGCTTCGCGGAAACGATCAGGCCAGCAGCGGCAGCAGAGAACCTGCTTGAGCATCGTTTAACCGATCCCTAATGCGGGATGACGATTAATAAAAAGAATGGGAGGGAACGATTAAAACAATAGTTTTCTGCTATTTCTGCACACTTTTCTGACTGGAGGAGAACAGTTAAAAAATTAGTTTTCCAGCCCGCGGCCGGTTTTTTCTAATCGTCATCCCGGGCGCCGCCACGTGAACACGACCCCCGGTCATTTATTTATCGTCATCCTCCATTATCCCCTCGTGCGTGGCCTTGGCCCTGCTGGCCGACTTGCCCACCCAGGTGGAGAGATGTGCCTGTTCCTTCGGGTCTTGCGAGGCCCATCCCCCACCTGAAGGGGTGGGCCGGTGGGGCTGAGATACCACGGCCCACTGGGGATGGGGATGCGTTGATGATGATAGCTTGAGCCCTCATCGAAGCCCCAACGGCCCCTATGATAGCCCTGGCCGCCCCAAGCTGGCGCGGAAGCGACCCGAGACCTCGAAACCCCAGGAGCCGCTTCCTACCCAATTTGAGGGTGGCCAGGGTCACCAATAAAGCCGACGGTACCCGACTTCAGGCCTGACCCGGAGAACCCCAAGTACCTCAGCTGTTCTCAAAATGAGCAGAGCGCTGTTTCGCATTTTTGACGGCGGCCTTATAGAAAACATTTGTTTCAGCGTCTCATGCCGGCCACAACGATTCTGGTACTTTTTCCCGCCCAGAAGATGCGAAACGTGCGAAACTGAAATCGCGCTGGCCATTTTGAGGGACAACTAAGCCGCGCACTGCAACCAAATAATCAGGAAGCCGAAGGTCGAGTAGGGCATTGAACCGAATACCCCCTGGAAGCAGACAAGCAAGTAGGTCTTGCAACCGAACACTTCCCGCAAGGTCTCAAACACGCTAGGTGCTGACGCAGAAACATTGTCCTCCCGCAAGGTCTCGTACCGCTTGGTGCGGGGGTCCACCAGACACAGCAAAATCACTGCTGTGTAACACAAGGAAGCGACAGCGACAAGGTAGCATGTGAAGCGCCACCCCTCGATGCCCAGTATCATCTGGGCAGCCATCCCTGGAACGATGAGATTAGCTACAACCTCTCCGAAAGAACCGACACCATGGAACAGTCCGAAGCACGTGCCACGTACATGGGGCGGCGTCAGGTCAGCCAGCAAGCTCTGGCTCAGCGGCCCTATGGACGCAAGCGCACCACCGTTGATGGCGCGCACGATGACCAGCGCCGTCGGTGAAGCGATCATTCCCAGCGCTGCCGTCACCTTAATAGCTTACTTGTTGGCAATGCGCTTTGCAACTGTGTTTACCATTCGGCGTGAGTGGATGGAGGGCGAACTATTTCAAATACCAATCCAGAACGAACGAACAAATGTGCACAAGATCACCAGGCGGGTCATGCGGAGGCTATTGGGGACACAACCTTCAGCTTGGGATGGGCTCGGGTGGACTTGACACTACGCATCTGTATCCAACATGATTGGTACGCAGCTCAATCTCTGAATTCGTGCATGTTTAATCATATGACAACGCATCGAATCAGGCACAGCTGGCCAACCCTCCACCAAGCAAATTAAGTGCTCGGTGGAGAGCTGGTAAGCTAGATCATGCTACCCAGCGAACGACCATGCTATGTACCGAGCTGCCTACCTATATTGCACAAATCTCTGGATCAAAACTTACACATATACGTGTCTTGGCTTCGAGCTAGTGGCTGGCAATCTGCTAATTTAGATATGTTGCTGGTTGTTGAACTAGCGACCTACATAGCCTCTGAATGCAATCCGACGTAACTGTCCACTGGGCTGTCCAAATCACCGTCTCACTACATCCAAGTCTATCTTGAAGCCCCGCTACTTGCCTATGTAGTCCGTCTCCAGCCCTCTTCCTGACTCACCCGCCATGCGGCTAGCTATATAAACTAAAGCACGCACCACGGAGCAATGCGATCATTTAATCGACGCCAATTTAATTTACCGCGGATGCTTCGAACCACACGCCGCTTATGTCCTCCCTCCACCCTTCTCCCTGCTCTCTCCTCTTTCTTCCTCCTCCCCTGCCTTTTCCTCCTCCTCATCCTCCTCCTCCTCCTCCTCCTCCATCCATCGCTGGCTCCTCCTGACGCTACCACCTTCCTCATACCTCCCTCGTTCCTCCTCCTCCTCCCCCGCGCTCTCCCGCTCCTCCTCCCTCAGGCGGGAAAAAAGGAGGGGGGGGGAGGGATGCGTCGGGAGAGTAAGGGGACACTGTGGACAGGGGAGGGAGAGGACGGAGGTAGGAAGGGGGAGGAGCGAGGGGAGGGCAGGGGATGGGAGAGGAACGAGATTCAGAGGATCCGAGGTTTGAGGACCGAGGTTTGACGATCGAGGATTCAGGACCGAGGATCCACGGGGTCGGTCATCGAAGGGCAGTCGGCGGAGTCATGGACCAGGCAAGCGGAGGAGGCCGCTGGCCAGAAGCACCCGCGCAGGGGGAGATGTGCGCCAGTCGCCTCGAACAGAGCCGGGGGGCGGTGGCTTCGTTTCGGCCACGCGCGGGGCCACCCATCGAACAGGCTGGGTGTCTGCGTCTTGGGGGCTCCTGGGGCTTTTGGGGCAAAACCTTGAGGTCGGGTTGCGAGTGCTGCCGAAGGGAGTGGGATAACCACCTCGGGCGGCGAGGACAGCACAGACCAGCACGGAGGTGCAGGGGTGAGGCCCGGACCCTGGGGGCGGTATCCCAAGGCACTCCCACCTCAACCTGTTCTATCTCACACGCGGCGCAGGTCCAAAGCCAAGGCGGGCTCCAACACCTTGACCGACCCGTGCTTGGACGACGAAGTGTGGTTGAAAGGAGTGGTGGGCATGCCGAGAAGGGATGGCGAGGTAAGCGGGAGGAACGCGCGGGAACATGAACAAGCACACCGACGACGGTCTGTGGCCCCTCTGGGGGGCCCCTTCGAGCGTCTCGGACCTCTCTTGGGAATTATTTACCGGTCATGGTACTGTTCCTTCACGTCCTCCTCTGTCATTCTCTTGGTAGAGGTCTCCCAGATGGGGTTCGAATAGATGGGGTCGGATACTCACGCCGCGATGTCGGCCACCGCCGATGCATCGTCGATATATCGGTGATGCGGCCCGATCCTCCGACCCCATCTGTTCCAACCCCATCTGAGAGGCCTGGGTGCATGTCCTCCTCTGTCATCCCTCTGCGGAGTAGCAGAAATTCGCATGACAAGTCCTTGAGTGCTCAGAGCACAGTATTGCATACACGGCTTGGAAATTAATCTGGGGGCCGGACGCATGACGGCCTCCTCCCTTTTCCGTATCTCTGCCCAAGACAGCAGAGGCTGTGCCCCCGAGTCCTGGCCATATCATTACGGTTCACCCGTAGTCTTCCCGCCAACAATGCCAAGCGACTCCGGAACATTCCTCTCCCCTTGATTCGATGTTCCTATCCCCACCGCATCCCCCCCACGCACCTTACCATCCTCCTCCCCCCTCCTCCTCTTCCTCCTCCCCCTCGTCTTCCGTGTCTACCTCCTCGTCCTCCTCCTCCGCATCCTCCCCACCCTCCTCCCCCCTCCTCCTCTTCCTCCTCCCGCTCCCCCTCCTCCTCCTCCTCCTCCTCCTCCACCACCTCATCATCATCATCATCATCACCACCATCACCATCATCATCATCATCATCATCATCATCATCATCATCATCATCATCATCATCATCATCATCATCATCATCATCATCATCATCATCATCATCATCATCATCATCATCATCATCATCATCATCATCATCATCATCATCATCATCATCATCATCATCATCATCATCATCACCATCACCATCATCATCATCATCATCATCATCATCATCATCATTATCATCATCGTCGTCAGCATCGTCGTCATCAGCATCATCAACATTATCAGCATCATCATCATAAGCATCATCATCAGCAGCAGCATCATCATCATGATCATCATCATCATCACCATCACCATCATCATCATCATCGTCGTCATCATCGTCGTCATCAGCATCATCAACATTATCAGCATCATCATCATCATCATCATCATAAGCATCATCAGCAGCAGCAGCATCATCATCATCATAATCATCATCATCATCATCATCATCATCATCATCATCATCATCATCATCATCATCATCGTCAGCATCATCATCATCATCGTCATCATCATTATCCCCATCCGCATCCTCACCCCTTTCCTCCTACAGGGCCACCCTGCCTCAAACTCTTCCTCCTCCTCCTCGTCGGTATCCTCGCCCTCATCCTTCTGCTTATGGTACTACTGGGCCAGCCCTGAAACATCCCTTGGCTCGAGTCTCGGGATGCTTCGGGGACCACTGTATCTGTACATATATATGTAGAGAGAGAGAGAGAGAGAGAGAGAGAGACAGACAGAGAGAGTAATAGAGTGGGGGATGGGGAAGTGGATGATCAAACTGAGCACAAGCGGACGTGGAAGAGGGACATCTATATATATATATATATACGATCAAGAAGAGTTGTGTGTTCGAGCCGGCACGTTTGTACAGTGAAGTGCACAAATTATATCCACGGCGAGCTAAGGCCGCCGCAGTGGCCCACAATAGTATCCCACTTGTCAGTACCAGCCGCCGGTCATACTTGTCGGTCAAAACGCCCCACAACGGCGCGCCCAGTGCTTTGGAGATGGTGCCTGCCATCGCCACATGCGCCATCTGCGACGGCGTGAGGCCAAGGCTCCTTTCAAGCGAGCGCAGGGCGCACGAGAGCACGTCCCCGTCGAAGACATCGATGATCTGAGCACCGGCGAGCACTCCGAACGTGGACAACAAAAGCGCGTGCCCTGGGCTGTTGATGAGCGCCGTCAGCGACCCGATCTGTGAAGCGCGCTTGCCACAGAACGCGCCGTAGTTTGCGTTGTCAGGTCCGGGGCCACTGCATGACGCGGTGGAGAAGGGTTTGTCCATAGAGTGCTGTATGGGATGGGGTGCCAAAAAGAACACTGCAACTTTGTTGTGGCACACTGCCTGTCCCTGAAACCTCCTTGTAGGCCAGCCTTCGAAAACAAGTCCGGAGAACTTGCCTCCTGATCTGTATACTTGGGGCGCCCTGGAGGCTGTCTACCTGGACCCTGTCCTGAAAGTCATGTGCTGGTGCTCGTTTTGACCCCCCCTCATGAATCTGGAGCTTTCGGAACATGGAAGGTGTGGCCAGCACGTTTGTGAGCCTGAAGCAAGGCTGCGGAAGGGAAGCGACGGAGGACGAGGTGGCAAGGTGAATGGGCGCGGTTCATGCCGCTGCCTGCCCTCTCCGCGCTCACCGTGCATTTGATCCGGCGGTGCCGCATTCGTGGGCCCGAGCCGGTAAACGCGGCGCCTGCTGGTCATGGACCTGCCTCGCCCCCGAACGTCAGCAGCATCGGAGAGGACGGGCCTGTCCCTCTCCCTCCGCCCCCCCTCCCTGCCTTCTTGACCCCCCCTGCGGCGGCGACCCTGGCAACTCCAGAAGCAGCAACAACTGTCGGGCGCGCCACCGCCCCTGGTGGGCCCTCAGCCTCCAGGTCCCCCGCCCCCCTTCCTCCGGGCTGAACTACAGGACTCGGCCTGACCCCAGGAACGATGCATAAGGAACGAACCCCTCTTTTTCTCCCCAAGGAACACCAGGGAGCCTCGCCGCCCAAAAGGTAGCGGAACGCATGCAAACCAAAGGAACGACCGAACCCCTTTTGAAAAGCAACTGTTCCTTATTCAAGTTGGATCCTGTACACCCCCAAACCTGCACGTGCGTGCGGCTTCTTACAACGAAGATCGAACGTGTGAACCGAACGCGGAGTTGCACGACGAAGCGGCGGGCCGATACAACCCTTTCGTGCGGACGCGGAAACGAAAACGACGACGACGACGAACGCGAACGCGCGACGCAGCCGCGCGGGCACTAGCGCGCGCGGGGGCGCATGACACAGCGCCCTCACCCGCGCCAGGGGCGTCTCACCCCCGCCCCCGGCGCGGCCGCGACGCGGGTCGGGGTGCGTGGGGGGAGGCAGAGACGACGCACAGCACCTGGCGCGCGCGAGACACGACAGCCCCGACTTTACCCGAATCGCCTTGGCATCCCCGAGCGGTAACATTCCAAGGAAGGGAGGGCGCGGAAGGAAGAGAGACTGGCGCTAGGAAGGGCGGGCTGACACGAAACGGGCGGGGAGAGCAGGGGACAGGGAAAGGGGGGCAACCGGTGGGGGAGGCGGCGCGGAGGAGTCATGAAAGAGACAGGCACAGCGCGACGCGGAACAAACATGCGAGCAGAAGACGCAACCGATTGACGAGGGAGAGGCGACGAGCAACGCAAAAAAAAACGCCAGAGGATTCGGAAAGAGCTGGGCGGCGAAGGGGCGGGGGGAGAAAGGGGGGGCGCGCGAAGAAGGGGCGGGGCGAGGCGGGCGACGGGAGGAGGGGCCTGGGCGACGACGACGACGAGGGGGCGGGGCGACGACGACAACGCGAAGAAGGAGAGACAACAAACGGTGGTAAAGAGGAGGAGGAAGAAGAGGGGGGGACGACGGGGACGAAGAACAGGGCGAGGAGTGAGACAGAGAGGAGAAGGCAGAATGCGAATCGGGCATAAAATGACGAAAGGGAAGGGCCGACAGGCCCCAAGAAGCACCTGAGAAACACCTGAGAAGCTCATGGGTTCTTTAGATGTCTCCTGAGGGGCTCCTGGAGAAGTCGCGGAGTGGCCCTTGGAGTTTTGTTTACGAAGCGCCATGCCTATCACGCGGCCCCCGGCAGCCCCTGCGGTGCTCTTGGGAATGCCCGGAGAAGCTGCCGAATGGCTCCTGAAAAGCTCTTGGGGTGATCCTGGGACTCCCAATGGGGGGTGTCCTCAGGACGGCTATGAATGCACCACATGTGTCCACCTCCGGATCATGCCTGCGGCGGCCGCGCACCTGCTCCGAGTATTGCCCGCTGACGTCCAGAATGGAGCTCGAAATCGCGCCGCGTCAATGCTCCGAACCTTGCCGCGTGCCTGTTTTCGATCTAGATCTTTCGATTAAAAAAAAATCAACTGTCGCTAAAGTTTCGGCGCTGTCAAGCTGGCATCTTCCCGAGGCGCCCTGCGGGGTGGAGGCCCGGCGCGTGCGGGTGGCCCGTGCGCCTGGGGTCCAACGGACCCCGCGTCCAGGTCGAATCAAAGGTCCAGAATCCCTTGGCTCTGGAGTTTGAGGCCCACGGACTCTGCGGCTCTTCAGGGCGCGGCATCTCTTCGGGCCCACGGGTAAGAGAACACGACGCCTGAGCCAAGGGCGGCAGAACGCGGGACCCCCTGGGCGACGGGGCGGGACTTTCATCGGCCCCACGAGGGAACCGCCCAGGACTCGTGGGACCCACAGTCGAACGCCGAGATCTCTTGGGGCGGAAAAGCAGGGGCCCCACGGGTTCCGTGGCCCCGGGGCCACGGGCCCAAGCCTCCTGGGTCGTGGCGGTTCCCGAGGGAGCTCCTGGTGTTTCCCCCGACCGGGTACTGTTCGTTACGGTGGCCAGCCTGAGCTTGGCGCGCATGTCGCGCTTGATACGACGCCGTTACCCAGGCGCTGCTGCTTTCCACTGTGAAACGGATGTACGGTGTGTTCCTGCGGCCAACCTCATGTCGGCTCGGATGTTGCGTTTGACAGGGCGCAAGTAAGGTCGCTGTTGTGTTCTACAGCCATCCGTTATCGTCAAGCCATTCATGTTCCATTCAATGGTACTAGTTTACAATATGTTCTGTTCGGGACGGGCCGGCCTCGTGCCCCGACGCGTGTCACGTGCAATGATTAGTCCAATGGGTCGTTGCTGAGCCTCTGTGCTCCCCTGGCCATTCTGACCTCGGCGCTCACGTCACCCTTGATACAGTGCTGCTACTCGGTCGCTGATGTTTCTTGTTTGCTCGATCCTGCCATATTTGAGTGTGCTTTTTGACGCTAGGGTGTGTTATAGCCTGTTGTGCTACACTCTGCCCTGATACGTTGTTTTGCGTTCAACTAGAAAGTAATACTCCACCGTACCAAGGCATGTCATATAATAATGTAGTGTTTGCCCTACATTAACTGATCGTCCGTGCCCGAACTAATCTCCAACATTCGGTGATCGACGACATGTGTTGTGATACTTTGCGAGTGCAATCAGCCGTGCCCTCTTCTGGGTTGTTCTATCACTGGGGCATTGCCCTCTTCTTGTGATATTGTGCTCCAGCTATGCTCTGACTCATTGTGGTTCACACTTCAACGCTACATACATACATGGGTTGTGCTTGCTTAGGCCATTACTGTGATGTGATTTGCGATGTTAAGGTCGGATACGTGATCTCTCATTGTTTAAAGAGATATTACGTAATAGCTGTTGTCCACTACTCTCTGTTCTGTTCTGCGCCAGCCAGCATGGCTGTCGCTACAAGGGCCATGCGAGACTGGGACCGACTATGCGCTGCGGCATTGAAAAGACCATCCCACGACGAAAACGAAATCGCGCACAACATCTATATCGAAAAGAAAAAATTCAGCATCGTGGAACATGACAATCTTCACAGGAATGTCACTCGGAGTCCTGTTCAACCCGACCCTTCCCCTCCGATGTCTGGGAGCGCGCGCCATACAAAAGTGCGCTAGCACAGAGCACAGGGCGCGGCGCAAGAGGGAGAGGAGGACGCACGACTGCGACGAGAAGGGGGATCATGAGCAGAAGCAATGGGTCAGAAACAGCCGGAGAAACAGGAGGAGAAGCAGGAAGAGCCAGAGCAAAATGCGGTAAGTTCGTGCGGCGTCGACGAGCGCAAATTTTTGTTGACACCGCGTCGATCGCTCAGAATTGTACCAATCCCGGCCCCGATCGTTCAAAATTGCATTCCGTCGGGTCCTACGGCGCTGCCGTGCCCCTCGGTGCTTCCGCATTGCCCTAGCATGCAAGCTTCAGCCTTGAACGCCTTCGCCGGCGTCGCCGGCGCGCCACCTCCACACGATCACACCGTGCAGCCGGCGGCGCAGAACAGAGCAGACCCAGCCTCGAATTGCAACGGCCTGTCCGCTGGGTGGAGAAGGAGGAGGAGTTGGAGGAGGAGGAGGGGGAGGAGGAAGAGGAGGAGGGGGAGGAGGGAGGAGGAGGAGGAGGAGGAGGAGAGGAGGAGGAGCAGGAGGAGGAAGGAGGAGGCGGAGGAGGAGGAGGAGAAAGGAGAAAGGAGGAGGAGGAGGCGGGGGCCCCCGAGGTCTCGCCACGTGCGGCCCCGTGCCCGCTCGTGGACGCCGCCTGGGCGGTCTGGAGCGCGCCCCGTGCGCTGGGCGGGCTGCCCGGGGTCCCGTGCCCGGTCGTGGGGACGTCGCGGGCGCGCCTCGCGCAGCTGGCACAGCACGGCTGGCACGACTGACTTCGCACCACGCGGCTTGCGTCCCTCCTCCCTCCTCCCTCCTCCCTCCTCTCCTCCTCCTCCTCCTCCTCCTCCTCCTCCTCCTCCTCCTCCTCCTCCTCCTCCTCCTTTGCACCACGCGGCTTGTGCCGGGCAGCCTTCACCGCACAGCTCACATCACACAGTTTACACCGGCTGGCTTGAGAAGCATAGCTCTACGCGACGTGTCCATCACCACATAGCTGAGACGGCAGACCCTGCACCGCAGATCTTTCGCGGCATGGCTTGCACTACCCAAGCTGCGCCGCATTGCTCACACCACCTAGCTAACACAACATAGATTGAACCACACAACTTACACCGCATTGCCTTCACCACGTACCTCACACCACGTTACACGACCTAGCTTGCACATCAAAGCGTCTTCTGCATAGCTTATGCAGCATGACTCGCACATCATAGCTTACAGCGCATAGCTCGTACCACATAGCTCACATCACACCGCTTACGCAACGTAGCTTGCACCACATAGCTTACACCGCATGATTTGCACATGCTAGCCCACGTCCCATAATGTAAACACTGTGGCCCATACAACATACACAAGATAGCTTGTGCCACATAGCTTAGACTGCTTAATGTTTACCACACAGTTCACATCACATAGCTAACACAGCAAAGCCTGTACCGTATGATTAACACAGCACAGCTTACAACAGGTAGCTCACATTCCATAGCTTACACCGTGCGAGATCCCCTCCACAATGCTACAACTCACAGTGTGGGGCCCAGAGGATCGTGCAGGAGCCTAGCACACCAAGCAAACA